GAGGCTCAGCTTGTGGACTGCCTGGGTAACCAGCCGTGCCTCTGATTTTACCATGGGTGATTCTGGTGCTCTCAGCTCAGTTCAGCGCCTGCTCTACCCGGCCTGCGCTGCAGCAGTCCATATGGCTGGAGTGTTTACATAATGCCAGGTTATCCTGTGAAATATGAAGCAATTCATTTTGATTAGTGAAGTGGGTCAGTAAAATACAAAAGCTTTCCATCCATGGATCTGCAAAAGATGAAGCACTTCCACGCCACGGTGCTCTTCCCCCCTCTCTCCCCGCTCTGGTGTGGGCCTGACGAGCCCTCCCCGGGAGCTGGAGCAGACCGAGCTGCTGGCAGCAGGACCTGTGGCTGCGTGACTCGGTTTGGTGCCTGCTCTGTTGCAGGTGTTTAGCCCCAAGAGTTCTATGACAAACTCTTGGCGTGGAGCGTTTCCTTCTCCGAGGCATCTCGGCTGCCTTTGGGAGGTCCTTCCCCTCATCCAGCAGTGCGCTGCGGGTCGCAGTTAACCCGGCATTTCACGGGCAAACCCAGGGGCTTGGGGTTGTCACCAGGCACTGCAGAAGGAGGATGGCAGGGTTGGTGAAACCCCCGAATCCTCTGCTCCGGCTGTTGAAGCCCAGCCCAGGGAAGCCAGGGCAGGGCTGGGACAGAAGTGGCCCAGAGGTACGGGGATGTGCCGGCGCGCTCAGCGCTTGCGTAGCACCTTCGCTAGGATCCAGCAGTGCTTCTCTTGGCCGCCCAGTGCTGGTGGGGGCTGCAGAGATTTGGTATTTGCCGCCTTCCTAAGGCTTCTGGTTCTCAGCGCTGGTCCTGCCCCCGCAGCCGCAGGCCAGAGCCCCCCGACGCCCGTCAGGAGCTCGCCTCGGGTGCTGCGTGCTTTGCTCCAGGAAAATCTGGGGGAAAATCTACATTTCCACTGGGTTCTCCACGTCTGGCTTTATTGCCCTGGTCACTTTTCCTCCTGTTTGCTCTCTGTGCTGTCTGGCTTTTCAGTGCAACGGGAATGGGGCAGAGAGGCGCTGAGGAGGGGGACAGGCAGGATGTGCTTTACTGGGCAGACCAGTCTCCCTTCTGTGCTGGTTTGGGTTTGGGGTTGGTTTTGTTTTGTTTCATTTTGTTTGTTTTGGGTTTGTCTTTTTTTCTTTTTTTTTTGAGAGCAGGGATGCTATGGAAAAGGCGGAAAAGACTGCAGGTCTAATTCTTCTGCCACAGGCAGGAACGCAAACTGAAAATAATGTTGCTGCAGGCAATACGATTACACCAGTGTAGGACTGGTCTGAGAGGCAGCTGAATTGGTGCCCACTTCTGTTAACATCTGCATGGTATTGACAAAGCTGTTCGTGTCACCGAACCAATTTAACCAGGAATCTTTTGTCATCCACAGTACATTATGCTGAGATGAGACCAAGGTGACGGGTGCAATAAAATAAACACTCCGCCACTATGGTGATGGAGACCGTATAAATACCTAGGTAGGAAAAAACAACAAAGCTGCGCTACAATAGATAAGCAAAATAACCCCTGTGTCTCCTAATGCAAAGAAAGAACTAGAAAATATGATCAAGATTTCAGCTTTCCCAAAGCCACTGAATCATGCAGCAGGAGCCGTTATTGCTTTTGTAGATTTAGGGGCTGTGTGGGTATAATGGAATAATGGAGCCCCTCTTATTTTTAACTCTTCTCGTGCCTCTTCCAGAGTGCTCTCTGTAGCTAACTGATTTATCGCTCCGTAGCTGAAAAGAGCTGAGCACAGCTCTCAAGGACCCTTGGAGATGATTTAGCTCTGAACAGGAGCCAGCAGGCACATTTGTATTTGTGATGGACGAATATCACTTCGGACAGGCCGGGGTGCTCCCTCCAGGGACCAGCAGCCCTGGCTGCCCCGTGCCCTCCGCCACAGCCAGTTGCCCAGGGCAGGGGTGAGGTCTGCAAATATTCCATCTGCTCAGCGCTAACCTTTGTGTGAGAACAGCAGAGCTCCAAATGCATAAAGGACATTTTTTTTTTAAGTGCCCAAATCTCTTTAATCCCAGGAGCTGGAGCCCTGGGGAGCAGGGAGTGGAAGCTTTCTCTCCTGTTCGTACAGCCTGCCGTACATAAAACCATCTCCTGTGGGGTAATGCTGATTCCGCATCTAAGTCTCCTCTGCGGAGTGGGAACAATATGATCCATTATGGGATGGAGACAGCTTTGTGATGGGAAATAGCAATGGGTAGACTTCACCGAGCGAGAAACCCAGCGCCTTTTGTTTGTGCATCTAGCCGGTGCGCCGCCGAGCCGCTGGTTGTGCCCGTGTTGGCTCTGAGCTTCCCGGAGGGATCGTCCCCTCCCGCCCCTGGCTGCGCACCCCCAGCCCCAACGTGCTTAAAGCAGGAACCTTTCTTCCATGAGCTTTAAATGACAAAAAAGTTTCAGCATCCAAAATATTCTTTGCTAATGAGCTTGCAGCTTATTTCCCCATTGTGTAAGAGACAACGTTTTGGTTTAAGCCTGTTGCTTTATCATTTAACTTTGTGTACTCCAATTCCTCTGTAATGATGAAATTTCACAACCATTCCCAGTTCATCTTTTTCATTCT